AATTAAAAAAATATGATGAAACTACAAACATATGAGCTATTCATCTCGGATTTCAACTAAACTTTGCTAATAGACATCGAAGATCATTTCTGCATGATTAACCTTCCTGAAATCCGGCAACACCGGATATGACAGTTCCTAACCTACAAGACCAAATTTGGCGCCTAAATCGTGGTCTCACAAAGTTGACAGGTTGTGAAGTTCCCAAATCGAAAAAAAGGTGAGTAATGATATATAGAAGTTATCGATATCAAGTACTATAAGCAATTTTATCAGCAGAACAAAAAATAGTAAGTTGTTTTTTTTACAGCCCTGGCAATAAAAAAACACCTGTTGTCGAAATAGGTGGGGTGAACAGGATCACATGCCGCGTGTCTACAACCCCGATTCGCATGGAAAGCGGTACCGAAAATACGACGATGAGGCCATTCAGAAGGCGGAAGATGCAGTGGGTGGTGGAATGAGTATCAGAAAAGCTGCGTCCGAGTACAGAATACCATATACATATATACCATATACCATACCATATATATAATTTTGTGAGACAGAAGGAAACTAAAAATGCCTGTGGGTACATTTATCAGTTTCCTGCCATCAAAGAATTGACAGAATTCTCGTTCGACCAGGTGGTGGGAAAATTGGAAGAACCGGAAAAGTACTTGAGAGGGTACCTGAAGTTTGCAGTAAATTTTAAAACTTTTCAATTCTTTATTCTTGTCCACTTAGTCTTTATTACCTAATGATAATTATTTTATTTTATTTTATAACTTTATGTTTTAACTTTTGCCAAAGAATTCAAGTTCCTTTATTGTTGAATATATAAATTTACGCTTGAACTGAGTGATAAATAAATGTTTTGTATTTTTTTTAAAGACAATTTGCGGTTCTATTCACCCTACCACCCTGCCAAATCGAATCTAACGCATAAATAAATCAGTGATCCTATTCTCCACGCCCGTGAGGTGAATAGGATCAGACAACAAAAAAATACATATATTATATGATACATGGTTCACCCTATGAAATATTCAATTCCAAAACCATTCAGTACTTCCACTAACTCATATTTTGACAATGTTGTAATTGCAAAAGTAGCGGAAATAAGAGATTTGGGTGTGATTTAATTTGGACAGAAAATGGACATTTCAACCCCATTTTAATAACCTGATCAATGAGTCTAACCGCATTTTAGGCTTTGTAATTAGAAATGTCAAACCTTCCAGAAAACCCGAACCAATACTTACTGTATATTACGCTTACATTTACAGCAAACTCTCTGCTACATCAGTCGCCTAGAAAACATACAAAATAGGTTCATCAGATTTATGAGACTCAAATTCGCCGTTTCCTTTTCCTGTCCAGTAAATGCATATGCATCTATCAGAAATCATTATAAAAATGAATGTTGTCGCTACATGACCGTAGGAAAGTTACAGAAATAGTATTTCTTTATAAATTATCAAACAATTCAGTTGATAGTTCGGATATTCTTTCCTACGTTAATTTTCACATTCCTAGCAGACAACTCAGACAGAACAACGTTTTCGAACTATCTTTTTCCCGTACAAATGTAGCAAAAAATCTTTCAGTAAATCGTATGTTAGAGTTAGAGACATATAACAAGCACTGCTCCGATTTCGATATTTTCAATATTCGCTCAGTCGCTGCTCTGAAAAACAAACTTAATACTTATTTCATCCATCGTCACTGAAAGACGAAAATTATGTCATTAGTTGTAATGTCTAAGTGCACCCTCCTCTTTTCTATTATCATCTGTTCTTCTTTTCTTGAATTTACTTTTCTTTTCAATATTTTCAATTCAATGGAGTCACTATCAAAATCACGTGTCTATATCTATATACTCACCATTTTGTGTATTGTATACCAATATCTACCAACCTCTATCTATTCTTTGAACAATTTTTACTATACACTCTCTCGTTCAATTTCAAATTATTATGGTAATAATTCCAATCAAATATTGTAGTTTATCTAACTCAATTGATATACCATAATTCAATTTGGGGATACTGTATTGGAAAGTCTCTTTCTTTTTATATTCCTTTACTTGTGAATAAATCAAAATTAATAAATGACAATTATACAATTTCGTTTTTAAGGTCATTCAAGGATATTTAAAACTTCCATTAATGCTATACCACATTGAGTTTATTCAATAGGTTATATTAGTCACTTGAAGATGAAACTAGATATGACATATGGAGGTGATTCTGGTATACGAGTGACACTGACTCATGGAATACGCCCTTTTACCCTTTGTTTTTCTAGCTATTTATTCCTGAATATGCTCAGTAGAGGGCACATTTTAGGAAATTTTTTTCATCTTCCGGTTTTTCTGGAAATGACATCATCTTTCGATTTCGAAATGGAACACCCTATATTCCATTCCATAATCGGTAAGAGATTATTATAACAAATTCAACAATATCGGGTATGATCGGGTTATTTCAAACGATTAGGAAGATATTCACGGTCGAGGTTTCCATAAGCTCATTGAGTGTGACAGAGAAACAAGTTTTGATATTGCGCCGTCACACCACCGACTTATTGCCCTATCTAGACTGCTAGTAGTCATATTGCAGCAACCCGAAAATGTAGGGTCAGTTGCTCGTCTGAAAACGCTTCTGCTCAATACGCAGGAACCCCCAAGTTGTCGTTCATGACTTTTATGTGGTATCGAAATCAACCTAGTATCCATTTTGTTCATAGGCCAGACAAGGTGGATGACGTCGGCTCAAGTCCCTGATAACACAATTATGTCCCATGGATATTCTTAGAACGTCCTGTCGGGACATTCGGAACGTCCATAGGACGTTCGAATTTGGTACCGTGGACGTCAAGTGGACGTATTTGGGACGAACAAATGTCCCACTTTAGGACCAACTAGGGCCGTCCCTATGAAAACTATCGAATACTAAAATCCTACAGTATTCCTCATCGAGCACTACGGAGGACATCCTTAGGACGTCCGTGGAACAACCTATCAGCAAGGCTGAGGGATATTAATTGGATATTCATAGGATGTCCCAGAGACGTACGAATTATTCTTGAATTTGAATTTTTCTGGGTCCCTCTAGAACCAGATCTTGCGTAACTGATGAAGACATCCAGTTCAGTTGATGGTCCATAGAAGGTCTCCAATAGATCCTGAAAAAGTTTCTCAAGGATGTCCAATGGACTCACGTGAAGGACATTGACGGGGAGTACTTTAAGCCTACGAACAATCATTTGTCGGCGAGGTGTAAGTTGACGTCCTCGCACTGACAACATATTGAAAGTACCGACTGGGACGTCCGTAGGACGTTATTTCTAGGACATTGGAAGAGTACAGTTCATGTACCAATTGGGACATCCGATGGATATCCCTAAGGGACATTCGAAGGATGTCCCTAAGAGACATTTTGATTGTTATACGATGCTGGAAATAATACGGGCGTCTGTGCAGAGATATTTGAAGGAATGTACCATCAGGGATATTTCATGGTTGTCTAGAAGGGACATTATATATCTGCCATAATATGTACAACTCGGGACATCCGATGGATGTCCCTAAAGCAACGTTTAAAATCATATTTCATCAAGGACATGCCAAGGACATCCTTGCATGGATTTTCTACAATATGTACCACGTGGGACGTCTAAAGGATGCTATTTCTAGGACATTTGTAATGATGTACCAGCTGGGACATTCCGTGGACGTCCTTGCTCGGACATTGTTGCATGAGATGTACGGGATGGGACGTCCCAAGGACACTTATTTTTGGTCCGGGACATTCGAATTGTACCAAATAGGGACGTCCCTAGGACGTTGTGTGCTATTAGGGGTGTTTTGATTATGTTATCAGGGGTCTGCTTCCTGAGTACAATATAATATCAAAATTGAGTAGTGATATAAATTTTTTTGTTTCATCTTCGCCAATCCTCATAAATATGAAGTGCTTTGTTCACGATTACTAATACTGAAGATGTTTTCTCTCATCGGTGAGTTCGAGGGTAATGAATAATTTATTATTTCAATTTGATTCCATTAGTTGAGCTAAGTATTCAAATCAAATGGAATCATGCATGTTTTGTATGATTGTATAATCATGTATGTTTTGCTATATTCATCCAGCTGTGAAGAATTTGAGTTCAGGCGTGAGGTGCCATACCTGCTCATCTATTTTAGACGATTTCGGAGCAAAAGTTCATTCATTCGATAATGATTCTAGCTTTCCTGAGAATAAGAGAAATTAATGGTTTGAAGGCTATCAGGAGACCCTTATTGGACCTTAGCCACTTAGGATGTTTGATCATGTTTGGACCATTTTACGCCAGACAGCAGCTTTCTAATGCTTCCAGGCAAATATAGGACATTGAAATATGCAAATTTGCTGTTCTTAGAAATTCAGTTCGCAAATCTGAGTATTTGGAAGCTATGAGACCTGAATACAGCATATTTCATTCGTTTCTCACGACTTTATGTATGGTTCACCAACCTTCCATAGTAGACCCCTCCCAACCTTTTTCCTTCTATAAGCCTATGTTCCTCGTATTCATGAGTGTAACATGACAGTTCCTAAATGCGCATGACTCAGTTTCACCAGTTCGATCTCCTGAGTGGCTCACCTTTTGCCTTATAGAACTGGCGGTCTAGATTAATCTATAAGTCGGTGCGTCACACCTATTGAGTTTATGCGAAACTTCGAACATGAATATTTTCGTGATCGTTTGAAATTACTCAATCAAACCCAATATAATAATTTCTCACCGATTATGGACTAAAATACAGGGTATTCCATTTGAAAATCGAAAGTTTATGTCATTCTCAGTAACACCAGGAGATGAAAAAATTTTCCTAAAATGTGAGACAGTGCCATCTAGTGAGCATATTCGATATTCCACATTTCAGAAATATAGCTAACAAACCAAAGGAGAAAAATGGGGTATACCATGAATCTGTGTCACCCGGTATATACATAATCTAACTTATATCGATATTAATTCTTTCGGTGACTCTCCAATAGTTCAATGATGTCATGGCGCCCATATTGCTGGGCTGATCTCAAAGCAGAGTCAGCTACATGAACGCCAGCTGCTAGGAGTACTTCTACTCCTCTAGTAAATCCGTGTTTTATACATATGGAAAGAGGTAGTGAATATGATGGTTTTGGATAATTGACTTCGGCACCATATTCAATCAAAAGTTCCATAATTTCCACATTTTTCAAGTGACTTGCAGAAGTAAGAGGAGTGAAACATTTGTCAATTTCATAGGCATTGACGTAATTAGGATCTGCATGATTCTCTAACAAGAGCTTTACAGTTTCAACTGCTCCAGCTCGAATTGATCGTGTTAGTGCTGTTTGTCCACGATTGCTTATTGTATTTATATTTGCATGGTAGCCCAGAAGAATTTCGCATATTCTCGTGTAACCCCAGCCGGCAGCACGAATAAGTGGTGTGAAACCATAACCATCTCTATGATCAACATCAGCACCTGAAAAAGCAAATCAACATTAATTTGAAGTCTCGATGGCAGAGGATGGTGGAAATAATTGTCACTTATCAGTGCTATAGAGTGTGGCCAATATGAGGTTGCACATTGCAATGTAGTACCTCTGTTAATTATCCGCGACCCAACACGCAAATTTTGAATTTAACGTTTCAAATAAAAAACCTCACCTCTACCTACCTCCTACCGGCCTTTGTATCTGCTCATCTCTACCAAGAGAGGTGTTCCCCGAGGCATATAACCTCCAGTAATTTAAGAAGAACACCAATTCCTACCTTATTTCCCTTGGCTCTCACGATGTTCTCTGAACATTACAGGATATCCTTTTTCCCTTTTAACAAAAACGGATTGGTGGCATTGAATTAGATCAGTTCAGAGACCAGATGGTTACAAGGGCCAAAGTTTTTGAAACTTCCAGAACCTCAATGGCCAAAAGACGAAAATATTGAATATCATGAAAGATAGTGAAATAGAGCTCAAGCATGGAATTTTGGTGGTTTCACATTTCCAAAGGAATTTGGCTCTTCCTCTCTGATATAGAAAGATTTTCCAAATTTTTGAAATTCATTAGTACAACAGGATGGATAATGAAATTCGAAGAAAAGTTCAGAAACATAGTCCAAAATGGTGTTCTATCTCTGAGGCATTTGAATGAAGCTGAAACCCTAATAACACACTTATGTCCGTATCTGGGGGATGTCCCTGGGACAACTATCGAATACCTAAATCCTACAGTATTTCTCATCAAGCACTACAGAGGACATCCTTAGGACATCCATAGGACAACCTATCAGCAACGCTGAGGGATATCAATTGGATGTCCATAGGATGTCCCAGGGACGTACGAATTATTCTTGAATCTTAATTTTTCTGTGTCTCTCTAGGACCAGATCTTGCATATAACTGATTAGGACATCCAGTTGAGTTGATGGTCCGTAGAAGGTCCCCAAAAAGTTTTCCGCGGATGTCCAATGGACTTACGTGAAGGACATTGACGTGGAGTACTTATTGCCTACGAGCAATCATTCGTCGGCGAGGTGTGAGTAAACGTCCTCGCAGGAATAACATATTGAAATTACTGACTGGGACGTCCATAGGACGTTATTTCTAGGACATTGGAAGAGTACAATTCATGTATCAATATCCCAATAAGGGACATTTTGATTGTTTTACGATCCTGGAAATATTGAGGGCGTCTGTGCAGAGATATTTGAAGGAATGTACCATCAGGGACATTTCATGGTTGTCTAGAAGGGATATTATATAAGATCTAAAGTCATGCCAAAATATATACTACTAGGGACATCCTATTGATGTATCTAAAGGAACGTTTAAAATCATATCCCATCAGGGACATGCCAAGGACGTCCTTGCATGGACATTCTACAATATGTACCACGTGGGGTGTCTAAGGAATGCAATTGTCTAGGAAATTTGAAATGATGTACCAGCTGGGACATTCCGTGGACGTCCTTGCTCGGACATTGCATGAGATGTACGGAATGGGTCGCCCCAAGGACACTTATTTTTGGTTCGGGACATTCGGACGTGGATTGTACCAAATAGGGACGTCCCTAGGACGTTGTGTGCTATTAGGGAACTGCATGGTGGAGAAAAGTTCAGAAGGAAAGTTTCCCTGAAAAAGCTACTATACTGATGAAAAACAAGTGTATTGGTGAAAACACTAAATTATATACTTTGACCCCATTTCTTGATGGAAATCAGGTGATGCGAATGAGATGGCGAATAAGTCTCACTTGTGTAGCAGATGAATATATGAAAAACCCAGTTATTCTACCATCAGAACACCGATTCACAAGATTACTGGTAGAACATTTTCATGAAAAATACAGACATTCAGGTCAAGACTATATAGTGAATCAAATTAGACAAGAATATTGGATATTGAATATTCGACAGCTGGTGAAGAAAATATCCAGAAATTGCCTTGTTTGTGAAAAAAGCAGATGTCAGCCTGAAGAACCACTGATGAGTGATTTACCCGAAGGAAAAGTTGCTGCGTATGCCCTTCCTTTTACCCATACTGGAATCCTCTGTAAGCTCTCTACTGTGCTGGAATGGACTATTTCGGGCCTTTGGAAGTAACGGGCGTGTACACCTTAGTAGAACTTTTAACTCAAACCATGTTTATAATGATCCTTCTATACATGAATGATGATTGACGACATAATTCGATCGAAAAGTTAACTGGAATGTTTTATTTTTGTACATAAATGATATAGTACCTCCTGAAAACGGACCCTCTAATGACGTAGAAAACTCATCTTGCCATAGTTAAAAGAAAATAACAAACGCCCGACGGAGACTGAGGCAACTGATATATTAATTCTTTCAACTGTGATCTCGCGCTAATTCAGTCTGTCAGAAATCATGTATCATTCATCTCTGTCTGGAATAGTCTTGTTTCAGTATTAGGGTTTTGACGTCACATCATCGCCTCGTTTTCATAGGTCCGAAAAATCGGGGATTTCAATTAATGTTTTATAAAACGTAGGGAGCTCACAGCAAGAAACGGTTTGCGGTGGTGAACTAGTTTGGGTGAGTTCTATCGAATTATGAAATAACAATTCCTTATGATATACTAATATATATATACAGTATGATGCGAATGTATGTGTAGTGTTGTTCAGAAAGGGAGAACATGCAGGAAGTAAAGTCGTTTATTTACTACAAAACTTGTTAAAAAGGTGCATAAAAGATAAAATCAAAGAGTGGCAAATTCGTGTTGTTTTTATTGCTGCGGAGTGCCTAGGCTCTAGGCTGCCGGCCGCACGCTCTATATCTCTCGCGATGGCTAACCCGACAACGTCCGGTTAGCATCTGATGATACTACATTCCTCCCCCACTAAGAATTTAGTCTTGATACCGAACTGGCAGTTTTCGGCTTCAGGGTGGATTCCTACGAGGTTCTTCTGTTTTGGACTCGTTCTTTAAAGGTGTCGTTATCTTGTCACGTTCCGGAATGGTATCATCTGTCGTTGGTTGACTGCTATCCAATATCGGGTCATCTGATGGTTCGATAACTTTATGATCGAATTGGTATTGCAAATCGCCTGTTTGAGTGGTTCCGATTTCCTGACTAATGGAAAGTCCTTGGAGATTTGCATTTGTCTCTGAGTCATGATTGGGTTTATCGGAACGTGGTCTCATTTGATCAGCATGCTTCCGTTTGGCAATCCCTTCAATGTCTACCAGGTAGGAGTAAGGTCCAGTCTGTTTAATGACATTTCCAGGTGAGGATCCCTTGTTTAGAGTATCATTTACCCAAACCTTTTGGTTTTCTTCAAACGCCTGAAAGCGGGCACCCTTGTCATGATTAAGTTTCTGATCCCACTGTGATTTCTCCATTCGTCTTGCAAGGTTTAGTTTAGTTTAGTTTTTATTCATCCATTAAAGAGCTCATAAGAGCAATAGGATAAGTCAAAAGGTACACAATTCTAACACATCACAATAATACATAGGATTGAAACAAATGAATAAAATGACTTACATACAATATTTACATGTCCAAATGATACATTAATTTTGTAAAAATAAAAAGAACTCGTCAATGGGGAAGACCACTGAGAGAAGAAATCCGTGCAAACCTCTTTCAATCGACGAATCATGATTTACGTTTGATGTACAATCAATATTATGAGTTAAAGTTGAAGGAAATCGAATCTATATCGTTTTGAAATCAGCATATTTCATTCGATATTTCAACAGCCAAATATGATGGTGGAGTCGTGACGTATTAGTCCCGAACTGTAGCTATCTCTCTCTGATACCTCGTCATTCTGCAGTGATGAAGTGTGATTGGTCAGTTCAAGGACAATAGGCGTGTTGGGAATAAGACGTCGCACCAGTCACACCAATGAATTGACATAATTTCAAATGGCGCAGGAATTGTGTGTTTTGAAATGGACATATTCTAATTTATTATTTTCATCGTCTTAGCATGAATGACAAAATTCAAAATTAATTCGCTGGTAGTTTTTCAGTATATAGTTCACGATAATGTCATTTTAAAAAATTAGTGGTCTCCCCCATTGTATAGGGACTGATGTCAAGGAGCAAATTTTTTATTTTATGTTTGAAATATTTTTCAGAAGGAGCATGTTTGATGTTTTCTGGAATAAGATTATATGCCCTAAGTCCAATAGACTCAAACGAATGAAGTCGCAGAGATAATCGAGTCTTAGGCAGATGAAAATTGTTTTTTATGCGGGTATTGTAATCATGAAAAGCATTATTCCTCTCAAAATTGGTTCTATTTTTGTATACGAATACCAAGACTTCCATGATGTAAAGACCTGCTAGAGGCAAGATTCTGAATTTTTTGAACAAGTTTCGACATGATTCAACTGGTGGTACTTTTGCAATTGTTCTGATGATTCGCTTTTGAGATAAAAATACATTATATGCATGTGGAGAGGAACCCCAAACAATCAGACCGTAGCATAGTCTGGATTGAACTTCTCCAAAATAATACAAGAGTAGACCTGAGTTGTCAAGAATTCTAGTCAAATTTCTCAGCAAATAACAGTTTCTGTTGAGTTTACTAATGAGATGAGTGCAATGGGTACGGAAATTGAGATCTTTATCTAAAAATATACCTAGAAATTTCACACTGTCAGTTTTTTCAATAGCAATATCAGAAATTTCAATATTTAAATCAATTTGATTAGTATTCTGAGCAGTCCGGAACATGACGGCTTTCGTTTTATAGGCATTCAAGTGAAGAGAATTGTTACAAAACCAGTTCTGTAGATGATGAAGATTTGAATTGACGTTCTGTTGTAATGTATTTACGTTACTAGACCTGAATAATAGAGAAGAATCATCGGCATACAAGCAAGTAAAGCACTCAGTTAAAGCCAATGGCAATTCATTCGTATATAAAATGAAAAGTATCGGACCGAGAACTGAACCTTGAGGGACCCTAATGTCATTTGATAGTTCGTTAGAAAATATATGTTCAT